TTTTTGTCTAGGAAGGAGGCGGTGATCTCCCGCTCGATGATGAGATTCGGCTGCCAACCCATCTGTCGACTAGTAGGGCTTACCCCAAATAGGTATCTCCGACCAGCAAGGGACGCCCCAGTCGACACACGTTGTAATTTCCAGACCGGTCTCCCTGCATGTGTGGTAAGGCAGTGCGTGTTAGTGTAAGGAGTGAGGATAGAGCAAGGAATGGGAACGAAAGATCCCGCGGGGTCTGTGGCCTGTTTGTTAAGGTACTTCCCAGGCATTCCCCTGGTGTTGATGAAAAAATGAACACGAAAAACTACCGATCAGAGGAGCCGTCCGCTAGAGTTCTCCTTCAGTCAGCGGCTGAATTCGTCCTAGCCAAGTGGCTAATGCCGAAAATCCTTCCAGCATCAGATCTCGACTTCTAGGCCTTCGCAGTCAAAAACGTCGCTGTGAATTCAACTGATTCCCTGAGCTACCTGCACAGCGAGGCAACGGAAGCGAGCGTACCCGAGGCCCTCGGCGCGCCCGTGCTCCAGCAGGTAAAAGTAGGCGCCCAGCGCCGCCATGGCGACGGCCGAGACGGCGCTCGACGCCAGCAGCAGCGGGCGGCGGCCGGCGCGGTCCACGGCCAGCAGCGCCACGCCGTTGGCCGCCAGCTGCACGGCGCCCACCGCCGCCGCCGCCACGTGCTCCGGCACGCCCCCGCCCGCCGCCTCGAAGATCTCCACGGTGTAGAAGACGACGGCGTCGATGCCGCTCAGCTGCTGGAACACCATCAGCGCCAGCGACAGCCCGAACGGCACCAGCACCGAGCGCTGCAGCAGCCCCTGCAGCGTCACGCCGCCCGCCGCCGCTCCCGCTCCCGCGCCGCCCGCCGCCCCGCTCTTCTCCGCAGCCGCCCCGCCTGCAACAGCGCACGCTTCAGGCAATGGGGGCATTGGGCCACAGCCGTAACTTCGGAAGAAAACATCAATTAATCAATCGACCAAACAGGGAAGGGGGCAGATGGCCCCCAAAATTTATAATTTCACCGAATTTACACAATCACGTAAATAAATGTTATATAAATTGTTAAATGCGTCTTAAATCGTAATTATTTATTGCAATTGAAACAAATAGAAGTTTGGGGGGAAAGATTCCATTCCAAGACATTATCTTCGAAACGCCCCTTTGGACTCCCTGTTTTGTCAACGAGAGCAGTGCCGGACCGAAGACAGGTTCCTACAGTCAGCATTTCAACCTGTGGTCATCGACAGTTTGCACAAGAGATTATTATTCCCACATCCCAAGGAGCAAGAACTCATTTTCGAGATGAGATGTAGAGCGTTGAAATGCGCGACACTGAATGATTTGTGCTTCTCTGACGGCGAGAATATTCTGCAATTACTGTCTATGGAGGACGGGAGAAGTCTCGTCTTTATTTAAGAATAAACTTCACTCAATGTCTGAGACTGCTTTCGTTTAATAAAGCCTACCAAGCCTTTCATACCAATGAAGCTCGGGAAATTCTAAAAGAATTAGCTCGACATATCCTCACTATAGGACAAAGAAGATAAGCACTCGCCCCTGATAATCTGAGGGCGTAGTGCAACACGAAATTCGATTGACTAAGGTCCGACACGAACCCACACCAGCCACTTACACAAAGCAGTAAAAGGCGAACTGCAACACAAAGTAAACAACCCTTCGGCTAAGCCGAAAAAAAACAAACGCGGAGGTCTACGCTCCCAAAATCGTTCGCTTTATATTTAACACGCCGAATGAACGTTGAGCAGCGAAAGAAGGTACCTTGGAGCGGCGCGAGCGGGAGGGCGTGCGGCGCGGGCGTGAGCGGCGGCCGCTTGAGCCAGCTGAGCGCCGCCTCGGCGTCGCGCGTGCGGCCGCGCGCGCTCAGCCACGAGGGCGACTCGGGCAGCGGCAGCAGCAGCGCCAGCAGCGCGGCCGGGCACAGCGCCGACGCGCCCGCCAGCCAGCGCCACGGCACCAGCGCGCCCACCACGTAGCCCAGCAGGATGCCCGCCGACATGAAGAGCGCCGGCAGCGACCCCAACACGCCCCGCGCCGACGGCCGCGCGCACTCGCTCACCTGCCACACCGTGCGCCCGCCTTTAAACACATCGTTATGGCGTTGAATTGAATTGAATTGAATTGAATTGAATTAATGCCTTATTTTACGTGGCGAGACTCAGGCCTGCTCTTCCGTCTGGCCACGCAAATTTCGCTTCTCTCCTTTCAGCAAATAGCAGAAAAAGGAGGTATTTCTTGGGTGAGAAACAGGCGATTTGAATTTAGCTCAGAGGCGTCATTTAGGCTTGAGGATCTTTTACATGCAAGTAAATCTACTAACATGGGACAGCCTGCTTTACTTCCCCTCCGAAGGAAGGCGTACGAAGGATTTTTTCGCCCTTAAAAATCCACGGCTTCGATCGGGTTTGAACCCGCCAACTTGGGTACAACAGTCCGGTATGTTAACCGTTACCACCGCGGCGTTGAGGCGGCTCGTTCGTTGATTGATTAGTGTTTCCCAGGGCGTCAACTTCTAAGATCATTTTCCCGTTAGTGTAGTGCAAGTTTTTTATTGCTGGAGGTGGCGGTGATCTTAACCCACAGGATCGCGAGTTCCGGCGTCGACCTGCACGACCACTTGCTGGGATTTCTTAGCCACGTGTTTCTCGACACCGCACCAGACACGAGAAGTTCTAAGCTTCCGACTTGTCTCCCGACGTGTGCGGAAATGTAGTGCACATTCATGTTAGTGTGGGTCAATAAAACGTGAGGGTAGGACAAGGAAGAGTAAGGAAACACCGGCCGGGATCCGTTTCTTAAGCTATTGCTCCCACATTCGCCTGAAGTTAATTGGAAAAACCGTAGAAAACTACCTCAGTATAATCAGTCGGGCGTTGTCTTCCAGACAGCAACTGAATTCGACCTAGCTATCCAGCTTGTGTCGAAAATCCTGCCACCGTCGCGCTCAAACCCTAGGACCTCGCGGAGGTACTGGAGTGATTTCAGTTGATGCCCTGAGCCACCTAAGCCGGTCCCCTCTAGTGCGGACGTAAGCGTGAGAATACGTGTACGCACAAATGAGTTGTCAAGAAAGGAAATTGATTAATCCTGGGACAGTAAACACAGATATTTTCTTGAAATACTTAATTATGGAAATCAGATTTAAACGCCGATATGTGTTGAGACTTCAATTTTTGTCATTTTAGTCTTCACTCTTACGAGAAACAGGGAAGGCGATTTTTACAAAGTATCAATCAAATATTCTATCTCTCCCATCACGTAATATAAAACACGTCTTCCCAACTCCCTAAACAGCCATTGTCAATGAAAATGTATGGTAGCCAGATACCATTTTGAAGAAAACACCGAAGAAAAAGCTGGCGAGAAGAGCAGATGCTCTTCTACTTGACCTTCCCTCTTAACTGCCGCACTTTTGGCTCGAATATTGTTATAAAACCACCGAAAGAGCTGGTTTTCAATGAACCCCAAAGATGGACCTACGACACATTTTTAATGATAAAAATATATTTTGTATTCCACACTCTACTAGCTCATTTAATATACGAATATCTCTAAATCGTTGGGTAGCCAAGAAAATACATAATTTAGGCATTTAATTTATTTTATGGATACTGAAGTGATAGTTTTTACTGATTGTATAAACTCTTGACTGGAAAATGAAAATGAGATACATAAAAATATTCACCCACTCTTGATCTTTGTTAAATCACTTTTTAGCCCTAAATCACAAACTATAAAGTTCCTGAAATGCCCTTAGGAGAATTAACCCATGCATAAAAATGCAAAAGGGCTTATGTGTACTCACGTAAACCTGCGCGGAGGGGATGACGAGGCCGGCGCAAAAGCCCGTGAGGATGCGCGCCGTCAGCAGCGCCCCGTAAGACTGCGCTAGCGCCAGTGCCACCCACGCGCCTAATGCCAGCGGCGCACTCAGCAGCAGAGTCCGCCTCCGCCCCGCGCGCTGCAGCAGCGGCCCGGCCACCAGGGATCCCACGCACGCGCCCAGCGGCGGGATGGAGCCTACGAACACACGCCCCCTCAGGACGACGCCCCTGACCCCGCCCACGCGCTCAGCAGCAGGGTCCGCCTCCGCCCCGCGGCGCTGCAGCAGCGGCCGGCCACCAGCGACCCCCACGCACGCCCCCTCCAGGACAGCGCCCCCTCAGACAGCGCGCCCCTCCACGACAGCGCCCCCATCGCGACAGGCGCCCCCTCGCGACGCGCCCCCTCACGAACAGCGCCCCCTCAGAACAGGCACGCGTCCCTCAGAACAGCAGCCCCCTCACGACCAAGCGCCCCCTCACGACAGCGCCCCCTCACGACCACCGCCCCCTCAGCGACAGCGCCCCTCAACGGACAGCGACCCCTTGCGACACGCCCGGCCTCGCCGGACAGCGCCCACCTCCGACAGCGCCCCTCGCGGACAGCGCCCCCCTCGCGACAGCGCCCCCTCGCGAACAGCGCCCTGCCCTCGGCGACAGCGCCCCCTCGCGACAGCGTCCCCTCGCGACAGCGCCCCCCTCGCGACGCGCCCCCCTCGAACAGCGCCCCCTCAGAACAGCGCCCCTCAGAACAGCGCCCCCTCAGCCAACAGGCGCCCCCTCTAGAACAGCCGCCCCCTATATACAGCGCCCCCCTTCATAACAGCGCCCCCTCATAACAGCGCACCCTCATAACAGCGCCCCCTCAGAAACAGCGCCCCCTCAGAGCAGCTGCCCCCTCATACCCACAGCGCCCCCTTCCATAACAGGCCGCCCCCTCCCCTAACAGCGCCCCTCCTCAGAACAGCGCCCCCTCAGAACAGCGCCCCCTCAGAACAGCGCCCCCTCAGAACATCGTCGCCCAAGGACCGCAACTACGACTGAAAACTCTCGGTAAACATTAACTGGTGTATCTCGCAAATCTACTCGAACACAGCTCGGAGCCAGCTTTGAATTATTTTTGAAAACTCAAAAACCAAACATTTCGCCTTGTAAAGAGCTTCATATGACTATAAAATCTTAGCTCCTTCGAGAGGAGCCAGGGGCACTCACTGATCCAGGAGACGGCTCCAGGGGCTTCGAGCAGGTGCGGGTCGAGCTGGCGCATGGAGGGGACCCCGGGCGATGAGAAGCCGCGCACCAGCCCCACCATCAGGTACCCCAGCGACGCCACCATCGCCAGCAGCAGCTGCAACAGCGAAGGCGTCTGCGATCACATACCTGCTAACGAACACATAAACGTCCGTCGTGCCATTTTCTGAATTTATTCATTTTTCCGGGTGCATCAAGAGATATGGTCATTATTCCCGTAACTGTAGTAAATGTTGCTATCTAGCTAGTGTCGAAAATCCTCCATTGTCGGGACTGGAAATCTATGATTTTCCGCTTAGTAATACTACAGTCGTAACAATTGATTTCCTGAGTAATCACAGTAGGCCACACTTGAGAATTAAAACATTCAATACAATTTGTATCCATAAATCCTCAAATGTTATTTGAACTTTTAAAGCATAGCTTATGCCGAGGAGAGTATATGCATGAAGATGTAAGTGCATGGAGAGTATGCATGATTTAGGGCCGAATTCATATTCGTTTCTTATAATGAGAATCCCTTAAGTAAGAGATTCCTATAAATAAAAAGTCCTCATTTTCAAATGAGTGGCGAATGAGTGACCACTCATTCGTATGAGGAAAGTCGCCTGTAGCCTTAGATATTCCTCATTCGCCAGAGGGTTAGTTAAGTGAAGTCTACGAACACATGTTTACGCAACATGGCAGACAACGACGATGATTTCTCGGAGAACTTCGACTGTTTCGTTTTCGTAAAATCACTGCTGAAAAATATTCTTGTTTCTCTCGAAAGAAGAAATGTATCATAGGCTTACCAATCCCTCCTCTTATGAAGTCGCTAGTAACATTAACATTTAGGCAACTTCATCCTTTCAGGTTCGTTCTATAAGATTGCACGAAACTTTCAATTTTTTTATCTTCCAGATAATTTTTTTGTACATATGATAAATGCATAAAAGTTAAATTAAAACTTTTTTACATTGTCTCCGTAGATCTCTATAAAGTTAGTCAAGCTACAGTGTGCCGAATACGTTCTGAAGTGTCAGAAACGTAACATCAAGTATTTTGTACAATTTGCATCAGATCGAGAGCTTTCGCATTTTGAACTGATAAACTGCCAAAATTCTCACCTATATAAGCTTCGTAAAATGCATTTAATGTATATTCAACAACAGAACACACGGTTACAGTCAAATACCAACGAAACGACGGAAACCGCTGTTAAAAACAGAGTCTGTTGACGTAAATGCAACTTTGCAACATTTCATTTCCGATACCTTAAGGAACACTCAGTTCTGCTCCCAGAAGAGACATCTTTGAAATACAAACCTCTTTAAGTGACTTCTCATTTTGGGGAACTCCTTATTGCTTAAACATTTTCTTAAGGATCGACTATGAATTCGGCCCATGTTACATTTGATGTTAATATCAATGCTGTGATTTTTCAATTAGAAAAATACCTGACATTATTCAAATATTTTATTAAGATGAACAAAATGTAATTTGTATTAATTTTTAGCACCACTGAGCCTCTTTTTTGTAACTACTTTGTTTGTCCTCTTCAAAAATGTGACGCACGTGGGCCATCCTTGCAATGCGAAAGGTCCTCATTCTGCCCTTCCCCACTCAGCCAGAAATAGTGGGCACGCGTTTTACTTTAGTGTTGGTTGATATGCAACCTAGCAAGGAAACAGGTGGTTTCTTTGATACAACCAAGCGTCTAATACCGTACTCTTAGGCTCTAGGTACATTTATGAAAAATGCTTCATTTGACGTATACATGTCTACGCTTCCGAATTGCTTCGTACACTGCGCTGACTTCAGCTTTTAAAGCGTCGCGACGCTTACGACGCGTCGTAAGTCAATAGAGGATACCGACTTCTGAACCGTATCTAAAACGTAACAGCAGAATCAATGACACTTCCACTCCGCTCTATTCACTTGCAAGTTAACGTTTGAGCGCTAAAAGTAGGTAGACAAGTTTATTTGTTCTCTTTATTGTACGAGAGGCGACAAGGTTTTTCTCTAGTCAGAACGAAGGAAGCTGATCATGAGCTATCTTCATGACAAACTCACTTGCAGACTTACCACTAGTGTTCAAATATACAAAACACTCATCAAAATATTTATTTTGAACGACATTATGGTATGAGTATGTTGAAAACTTTAATATTTTTTGCTTGTTCCCAAAATGGTTTCATTAAGAAAATGTTCATGAAAAATAATTTCAAATTAGTTGCACGCTGAACTTGTTAAACGTGGATCTACGTGTGGCATACCAAAACATTTTACTCTTAAGATTTCTATGAAATGCAGAATTTTTGAATTGTAATGATTTGTAGGAGGATCTGTGAGTTTATATAATAATTATTTTAAAACTTTTACAAACATTAGTATTATAATACGATAAGTTCGTTGAAAAGTCTAGATCGTACTGTCATGGTGTCTTCCTGACTCTCATCCAGGCCCTCCTATACTGTCCCCGCTTCTGTCACAAAACGTAAGAATTTAGTTGCCACTTTTTTAATATTTCATTTAAAACAGTATTTACTTCCCTACCTATTACATCCAACTAAATCATAATGAGGTCATCCAAACTTCCCGATTTCCAAAACCTATTGGTATGTGCACCGAGACGGCGTTAAATTTAGAATTTCCTTCGATAGTTATACACGATAAAAAGAAACATTTTTTCTTTTGTGATGAAAATGTATTAATTTTATTAGAAAATTGTAATTAATTGTGGAAAAACAATAGGCGATTCGTCAGGAACAGAAGTGCAGAAAAAGTCTTTAACACGGTGAAGTACAGAAATCTATTGTCATAAAATTAGAATTCGCTCGTGAAAAATTGACCAATTTGCAAGGTTAGGAAGTGAGTAGTAGATAGAACGATGCCTTTGCTTGAAGACACAAGAGAAGATGCACGTTTAATGAGAAATAAATACGGAAAGTAATATTTTTTGCGCGTTTGGCCAGGACCTAATTTTGAGTTCGCGAGTGAATGCATAAATGCTGAAGGTGGAGATCGTCGGAACCGTCATCGTTGAAAAAGGCTTATGTCATCGCAACGAAAGGAAACGAACTTAATAATCTTGTATAAACAGCATGTTATGTTTTATTTAAACATGTGATATGTAAGATTGTACCGAGCGCCATAGAGTCGATTTTATGGATGACAATTGTTTTTGTTAGTATGAAAATTAAGCAGAACTGGATGGAAAGTTTAATTTCATAATCATATTTCCTTACTTAATTATCGCATTTTCTATCTCATTTTATGTAAATTCAAACAGAACGGTCATAAGACAGTATTGATAAGAAAACGGCATTGCATTTGTACTTAAAGTTATATGACTTCCTCAATACAATTTATATTCGTCTAATTGCACTGGTCAGAATAAAAAGAACATTGAAAACATCGATCGGAGTAAACGGCCTCTAAAATCACTGTTGACTGATCACGACATGAAATAATTTGGTTGTAATGCTCTTGCAGGTATTCACCTCAAGTTATAATAATAATTTAATAATAATAATAATAATAATAATAATAATAATAATATCAAATTACATCAATTACTCCCTCGTATTGAATATATTAAAATAAATTACTGTTAAAAAAATACATTTATGTATTTCAAAAGTGTTGGGGGAGTTATCCCCATCCTCCCAAAATAATTCCACTACAAAAAGTTATAAAAGTGTTTTAAGAACTTCAGGACAGAATTATTAAATAATGAATTATGTAAACATTAATATATAATATAATATAATTTAAATGAAACATATAATTTAAATAAACATATAATTTAAATAAACATATAATTTAAATGAAACATTATTGGTGTATCATGCATGCGTCATTATATTCCATATATTCAACCTTTTTACTTTTGAAGTCAATATTTCCAGTCATTGAGAACAGTGATTGCTTCTTTGGAATAAAGGTAACATACACTACCGCCTTTAAACCTCTCCTAGAGAGAACTGGTTGTGTGTGGATCGGAGCTTGCCGTTATCAGCGCCTTGCATCGCAAGAGCCCTCCAGAAGGATCTTTTATCTCACAACTCACTTACCAAACTGGAGATGTGAAATTGTTTCCGAAAGGGAGTTTGAGCCGTAGTATGCCGGAAATTTTATGACATGACACATTGCGCTTTGTCAGAAACAGCGAAGACGTCTCGTGTCAGGGTCAAACAACAGGAATATGCTTCATACGATTAGGAAGCGAGTACGTAAGAATTGTTTGCGAATGCTCTGCTTTCTGCGCAAGACATTTTGACAAGTTCATTTGTAAAGGTTGGATTAGGCAGAATATCCATTCACACTTCTCTCTTCTGGAAAGCAGGGGCTAACAGGAAAAGCTTAATGTTATGGAGCCTATGTGCTTGCTTCAAAGGTTACAAATCAGTCAATCAATCCGACAATCAATCAGAGCGATAGGCAACAATTCGGTCGCAAGAGCATCCTTCCCCTATTTATTGCACCACCGACTTTGCATCGCACTACCGGTCAAGACTATTTGCTCTGTTTTCTTCTTAACTGTATCGTTCTTCACTCTCAATTATTACTTTTAAAACTATCGATTTATTTTTTATTTATTTATCTTAGTTATAATTTGTCGAACAGGTTCAGCATTCACGTATTGCGTGTATAACAGTTAATAATCAAAAATTTATAGTTTAAAATTCAAACATTAATTAAAATTGTTTTAAAGTATAATTTTACAATAAGTTGAGTATTCGGTCTCTTTGTGTTGAGTACCGCTTAATGTGTTTGTCATTGTTTAACAGAATGTACATTATTGAAGTGAAATGTATTGTTTAGTCTGATGAAGGGAATAAATTTGTCATCGAAAAGTAGTGTAGGGTAAATTTAAAACCTAAATATTTGATTATTAACTGTCATAAGAACAATAATAGAATCCTGAATTTATTCAGCCAATAATATCCAAAAAAATTAATATTACTTTGTCATCTTTCCTTCTTTACGCTCTTAACCTTTCAACTAAAGCAAAGTAGCCATAGGAACTTACTTTAAAAATATATAGACTTTACGGATTAAGCAAAATTGTATTTAAAACAACTAGTGGTGCTACAACAGAACAACTTTATC